GAAAGGCACCCAGGCCTGATGCTGGTGGAGGATCTAGGGCCCAGGGGGCTGGAAAAAGGGGCAGGAAGTCATTAAACAAGGTGACACATTGCTGTGTGACTAACCTGCTGAGGTCCTGAGGCTTGAAATACATACACAAGTGTGCACACACGTTCAAACATGTCTCTGCCATCCAGCGCTCAAGCTGCCTGGAGTTTTCTCTTAGAGTTGCCCACTCCTCATCTTCACTAACATCCCCAAGAGGCAGCTATCCATTTTGCAGGAGAAAACACACAGCCTTTTGGAACGATGTGCCTGGATCACAGAGAAAGATACGGCAGGGATGGAGTTGTTGCTCTCAAAGCTGTTACCAATTAGCTAATCCACGTGGGGCTAGCAGTGTCCATTGTAGAAGGCAGGGAAGGACATCTTAAAGTCAGATGCTGGTGTAGAGGAGGAAGAAATAGAAAATCAGAGAGGCTGATAATAATGGGAAGTATTTACTGTGCACTTAAAATGTGCCAAGCATTTGATGTGGGTTAACCTCATTCATCCTGACAACTCTGGAAGCTAGGTACTATCCACATCAGCTCTGCTTGACGGCTCTAGAAACCAAGGCCAAGAGCAGATGAGTAACTTGGCCTTGGTCACACAGTCAGAAAACAGTAGAGGCAGGATGTGAAATGTAGGCAGTCTGAGCATAAGCTGGGCTCGTACTCACGATTTTCGGTGCAAGTGGAAAAGCAGGCTTGCAGCAGGAGAATAGGGATGGCAAAGGAGTGCGGAATCACCAATGGTGCAGACTCTGTAGACAAATGGAGCCTAGATCACAGAACTGAAATTCCGCGTCTTTCCTCTGCCCTCCATGCCCCTTCGGCTCCCAGTTACCCACCTGGGGCCAGTGCGGGGCCAGTGATCATGATAGAAGGGACAGCTGTGCCTCCTCAAAGCACTCACCTATGTTCTGGCATGGGAGGGGCCCTGGATGCGCAGATCCTGGAGGTCAGGGCATTTGACAGGTGATAGGAATTGTTTCAGCTCCATCCAGAGATTTCTGCGTGATCTCTGGCTGTGATACAGGATGTAGGGGGACAGGTAAATAGGAAGACTGGAGGTACTGAAGTTTACTGAAATGGGCTTACTGTGTCTTGATTGTTACTTCAATGGACTGCTTTTAAATCTTAAACAAACCCACCAATTGCCCTGTACACAGTAAAATGGGAGCTGAGAAGGACAAGGCAACTTCTCTGAGTTTACGTGGCCAGAAAGTGAAGGAGCTGGATGACAACATTGTCGGTTGGCTAACCCCGTATCCATGCTTCCCCTCATCTCCCTGAACTGTCTCAACTAGGGTAACTATAATCATGTAGATCCTCGCACCTTTCCAGCCTCCCTTGCTGCTAGGGTTAGACATGCGACAATTTCTGCCCAAAGATTATTTGACTGAGAGTGTCCTCCTGTCTTTTCCCAGGCCATTTTTGCCCACGGGTGAAATGCAAATGATTTCATTATTCTGTTGCTTACAGAGGTGAAGGGACTTACTAAGGCCACAGAGCTATTAACTGCTGCTGACATAATTTAATAAACCGAGGAGTATCTAACATCCAGGTGATGATTCAAAGCACTATGCCATTATGCTTCTAAAGAACAGAAGGAAGTCTGGCCTGGGGTTATGTTCAGATGGAAGAAAGGGTGTTTCCTTCCTTTCCAAAATGTCCACAGAAAGCCAAGACTATCTAAATAGATTGTTAGCTCCGGATTATGTGGCAGGCCTATATGGGGGTGAAAGTGGGTGAAGGGGGGAGGAAGCCTTTTCTCCCACCACCGTGCTAATGTCCTCTGTTCACTACAGGGATGAGGAGTTACAAATGTGACTGGTGTCTGGGCCATCGCTATTAGGTGTCATTAAAACCCCTAACAGGTTATATGTATGTTAAACTTCAAATCATTTCTACTGTCTGCTTCCTGCTGCCATCCAGGCGAGAAAGCTGGGCCCACTATTTCTGAGCAGGCCCAGCAAGATGCACTGGCTCTGTCCCAGGCCGGGCAGCCAGTTGGTGGCAAGATCTGGATGCAGAAGGCAGACTGCAGACCTGAGCCAGGAGCCACAGCCCAGCTGTCCTACGTTGACTTCCATGTGGCTGTTTGCTCCTGTGCATTTAAGCTCCGGCAGAGCAGGGAGCTGACAGGAGACGGGTGGTTGGCAAGGCAGAATATGGTCACACCTTGGGCCCTGGTTTTGATACTTACTGTGGTCAAAACTTTGGGGGACCATACAACCTATTATCTGCCCCAGGAGGACACTTGAGAGTGAGAGGTACTATAATCATGCCAGGATGGTAATTCTCAAGTAAACTGGGATGCGTGGTCGTCTTATCAAACTATCAAAACTATAAAAAAAAAACAAAACCCTTACCCCGAGTTGTAGCCCCCTCCCTCGATCACAGACTCTAATTTTCATGTAATAACTAGATAAGAAAACCCAAGTCTAGTTGTAATAGGCGATTATAGAAACTAGCCCTGGAATAGTTCTAATGGAAATAGAGAGAGGCGGCAGGCCTACGAAAAAGTGCTGCCCATGTCTTCTTGCTTTGAGTTTTCACAATGGAATACAGCAACTTTTTATTTGTGTGAAGTATTTTACTTTACCAAGTACTTTCTTGGGCATGATCTTCCTTAATAAGCCTGAGAAGCAGGTAACAGGTTCAGAACCTTGACAAAGGCCGCACAGCAAGCAGCCGAATCCAGGATCTGGGCTAACGTGTTCGTTCCCTTCCCACGCTGCATCCCCTCATGGCATCTACTCCAAATGAGCTCCCCGATCGTGCTCTGAACCTAGGCTGCCTGGGGGAAAGGGGACAATGCAAAGTGAGGCCAGTGGGATATAGTGGACCAAACAGGTATGTGCCTGAATCAAAATGAGCTGCAAAGCCAGTCATTAACATTGTACATATTCAAAATGGAAGTATAGATGTGTCCATTTATTTTTGAAACTACCCATGGCTAGGTAAACATTGTCTATCTAAACATTTTCTGGCACCGTAAATTTTCTATGTAAATTAATCGGCAAAATGTCCACACTTCAAGTAGCAGTTCTTAACAAGGGGACAGCACATAACCTTGAGGGGGCAGGTAGGTTATGATGTGGGGGTGAGTACCCCTCCTTTATTTCTGCCTCCTCTATAAACCAGTAAGTGTCAGTGACATGTAAGACCAAAAGTGACAGAGACAATAGTCGGTGACTGCCAATTCACACACATACTAACCTGTCACGTGCAGGACCAGGGGGCTCTGAGGACTAGCGTGTGCCTGACTGGTGACAACGTGCTGCCTGCTGCTCTCCCAGGCCACAGCTGGCAGAACACCTGGGAGGTCTACAGATTTGCAAATCTCATTTCAGGGCAATGAGACCTTGGTGTGTTCATCCAAGACATGATGCTCCTACTCAGAACAGCATGCTCTGACCAAGGCTACACAGCCCATGGACAGTGCCTACACGCAATGGATCCAGAAATGACACGGCTAATTTAGTCCTTTCTCTCCCTAGCCTGTTAAACTCATTTCTTCCTTCAGGTATTTAGATAATTAGGTAAAATGGGGTTAGGGAAGCAAAAATAACCTACTACTTACAACATAAATCAAAAACTATCAGAAGATCTAAAAGACTAACTTGATTCAAACTTTTCCTGGTTTCCTGGTTTGCTAGGGCTGTTTCCGAGAGGGAGTTCCCCAGACTGCCAAGGATAAGGGGTGCTTCTGAGGACACACTCAGGAGGCTCTGGTCAGAGTAACACAGAAGTTTTGAGAACAAAGATTTCCCTCTTGATTCTAGGAAATGTCTAGGTTTTATCCAAGTCACAAACATTCCCCTGGGCTTGAACGATCCAACCTGACGGTAAGACATGGCATCCGCCTCGGGGTTGCTTTGGGTGGGCACGTGTTTGTCAAGACTGGCTCAGTGTGCACAGCACTGGGGGGTGTCTGAGAGGTCCGGAGGAAACCACTCCTCTCTCTCTGCCCCCAGCTGACTGAAAGGTGTTCTGTCGTGGAGATCCATTTGCAATCAATGCACAGATGGCCTTGAATTCTCAGCACTGGAGATCGGGCAGTGATCCACAGGAGAAGTGAGTCATTACACCTTTAATGTTTGCAAAAGGAAGTGAATCTATGACTGTTTACGGCGGAGCTGAGGATATGGGAGAGGGGCTCCACAAAGTTTGTGACATCAAGGACTTGGGGAAGAAATGAGGTCAGGAAAAAGATAAGGGTTTTGCTATTTTCCTATTTTAGGAAAGGAAAAATCATCCAGAGAGAAAGAAAAGGAGACTGAGGTAGAGATGGGAAAGATGGGGAAATTAAGAAAGGGGTGTTTTTAATGCAACCAAACTTCCTCTTGGTGAGACCTGCAAGCAGAGCAATGAAATGATAAATCCTAACTACTGTGGTGTATTTGTTTCTGTTTTTGGGGGGGGATTCACTCACTTGTCAGAGGCTGAGCCAAAAGACTGTCTTTTCTTCATGAGGCCACCATAACTCACCGCTCAAAATGGGTACACAGGGCAACTGTGCTTCCCCACCTACCTGCTTACGGAAAGGGGAGTGGGGTGGGTGGGGGGGTGGGGTGTGTGTGTGGGTGGGTGGGTGTGTCCCCCATATCCCCAGAATACAGTGGGACCAAAATGCTTACATTAAAAGAAACATGGGTCAGGGCTTACCCATGATTTTCCAAAGCCATTTTCTGTTGGTAGGTGACAAATGCCACCATTTAATCAGCATAACTTGTGATTGCTGTGGAGGCTTAGACAATGGACCACACCTCCTGGATGGGGGGACTGAGAAACCCACTGATCACCATGCCATAGTTTTGGGTGAGAGAACTTCAGGAGGGTTGCAATCCTCACCAAAACAGTAGGTCAGGAGGAAATCCGTTTTCCAGAAACTTCAAAGCGCAGGTGTTATATAATGAGATCAGTAAGACCACAAGAGAAATAACACATCAATCAAAAAATAACAATGACTCTTTATAAACTTGTTTGGGGTCTAAATATCCCTTATGTGTGTACATATTCATTACACAAAGAATCAGGAGATGCCCTTCCGCGTGACCTGCAGAGACTGTCTCCAGAGCTCCCGGTCCCCTGGAATGGCTGCCTCCAGGTTGCTCTGTGTAGAAGTCCCAGCATGGCAGCGATGGAGACTCCTGTAGATTCTCCACACGTCCAGGACCTATATCAAATCCAGCTGTAAAAAGGAATGACACATTTAGAAAGGAACCGGGCCAACTTCAGACCACTGATGCTCCGGTGAGAGAGTTTAATGACAACAGCTCTCTTCAGTGGTAGCTTGCATGGACTTGCATAGCTATCCACTGCTAACTACTTCAGGACTTAAACACCAAGCATCTCCTCATTACGATCCTAAGAACTTCTCTACAGAAAAGCTGAAAGTTTTTACTGGACAGCTGTCATGTGAGGCTTAAAGGCAGAAAGTTTCCACACATGAAAGATGGGTATAAAGGCCAACACTTTTTACAGAGCCCCCCAGGCATCCAGATACAGGGCTATGAGATCCAGAAATCCCCAAATGCCTATTAGCCTGTTTTGTTTACATTAAGTTAAATGAGAATATTTAAGAATTAGGCTTTTTAAAGGCCGTTTTTCACTTGTCAACCCACACAAATTGCATGTTGTATTGTTTACTTTGGTCGAAAGCGATTTCAGTAAATTATGACATTTTGCTCCTACAGGAATAGCCTCACCAGCTGTTTTTAATCCTTCAAAGAAAAGGATAAAACTGAATGAACAATATAACTAAAACCACTGACCAGAGATTTCCATTATGAAATCACCTATCTGATTAAATTTATAACGGCAATAAATAGTAGCGTGGAGAGCTTCTGGAGTGTTAGAAATTAAAACACAAATAAGAAACAAATCTAGCCCTGGCTGGTGTGGCTCAGTGGATTGAGCGGTGACGTGTAAACCGAAAGGTGGCAGTTCGATTCCCAGTCAGGGCACATGCCTGGGTTGTAGGCCCGGTCCCCAACTGGGGACGTGCGAGGGGCATCTGATTGGTATTTCTCTTGTATATCGATGTTTCTCTCCTTCTCTTTCTCCCTCACTTCCCCCTCTTTCTAAAAAATAGTAAATAAAATCTGAAAAAAAAAAGAAAAGAAACAAGTCTATAAGCAGCCTTTGTGCTATATTTACAGCTCAGATGACTTCAATCATTGGAACATCTTGTATATGTTAAAAGTACTTACTAAATCATCCACATCACCACCTCCTTCAAAGACGGCTGCCGTGACTTCATTTGGATTTTCTTTGGGAGCCAGAAACTGTGAATATAAAGTTGGTCATGATACTGAAATAACATGTCCCCCCCTTTAGATGTAGAAACGAACCACTGGCACCGTCACAGACAAACCTAAGACCTGCTACCAATGGCCCAAAAGAAACATCATCTGTTCCTTCATTTGTCTCTTGATGAAAGGAATAATTCTGAGGTTGAATACTCCACACTAACTAGTCACAGAGAAGGTTCTTGTCAGGAGGGAGAAAATGACATGGCTCCCCAAGGCAGTGACCATGTGGCGGGTCCTATGTCAGGCACTAAAGATGCCTGATATTTCCATTTGTGCTTCCACAGGAAAACACGAGGGGTCACTAGGGTTAAGGAGAAAACCAAACTCCCCAAAGAAGTATGTCCTGGTCTCCTTTGAAGGGATCATAGGAATGAAGGGTCAGGACTTAAAGATTGTAATCAGCTGTTCTTCAACTCCACTGTGAACAAAAGGAGCGAAAAAGGAAGTACTTCCTGTACATGATGTAAAACAAAAAAATGGGCAAACTTGGGAGGTCGTTCAATTCCTTTTCTGGAAATCCTTCAATCTGCATTAGAAACTGTTTGAAAACAGGTGGATGAGAAGACTTCTAGTGTGCCCTTCTGTTCAGCAGCCCTGGAGCTTCTCAAGGCAGACACAGCAGAGCAGGGCCTGAACAGACGTCTGCAAGGATCTAGGAATGAAACTCAGACTTTAAAGGGCAATGAGTGCCCTTGAAACTATCTGAACACTCCTGTTTTCCCTCCTGTCCCTCCCAGAGAGAGCAGTGGGGACTCTTTTTCTCCAAGTCTAAGAGCTGGGTTTTATTAACCACTTATCTATCCTAACAGAAGCGATCTTCTGGCAGCACAAGTACTTAGGCAGCAGAGCCAAGCCTGCAGGCGCGGGGGAGGTGGGGCATGCATCTCGGGCCGCCCTGCTCAGGGTCAGTGGGCAGGGAGCCCGCTCCTGCTCCCCGGCTCCCCCCTCTGAGGGAGAAGCGTAGTTATACTTTCCTCCTGTTCTCAACATGAAGAAACCCAAGAACTGCTTTTCTTGTTATTTTTATGTTACAGTGGATACAATCGAGGCCTCTGAAACCTCAAACTTACAGACTCAAATATGTCCCTTGAAGGAGTCACCCTTTCAATACTGGGCTGTGCGGCAAGTCTTTGGAAGCAAGTGCTGCAACACCCTTCCAGCCCTCTGAGCGAAACCTCACACACAGGTCACAAAGCGCCACAGGGGCGGCTGCGCGTGCAGAACTGGGAAGTGCACACGGCAGAGGTGGTTGGTTTCTGACACACGTCTCTCCTGAACTTTTTAACCCTCGGTCAAAGCCACCTCACCGTTCAGTCTCCAAATTTGACTGAGAGATTCAAGAATTTATGGTTTTCTAAGGGCATTTATGGATCTTTCCATAGCCCTCTGTTGACCCTAAAGTGGACTGTGTTCAGTACTAGAATCAATGGTATGAGAGACATAAAAAGCTAGCAATACGTGTACAGTCTAGAACAGAACTGTAATGAAGATTCTATATTGCTAATTCTATTCATTTATTTAGGTTAATTATTAATAAAGAAAATTGAGGGTCAAATACAAATTAGAAATCTACATATGTATTTGTATATGGCTTATGTCTAAGATTAAACTCTGTTCTATCCTAGACTCCCCAACTGATCTTTATTTGTGACTTCCCAAATTATTATCACTATTAAAAATAATCTTTATTTTATTATTCTTCTCATCATAATCATTAACCCCCCTATGACTTTCCCTATGTCAGACTAAATAGAACAGACTAAAGGGGAAAGACATCCAGTTGGGATGAGAAGAATAAAAAGTAGACCTGTGTCTTGCTATAAGCCTTGTGAAGCCACAAATGACCGGCACCTTCCAAACACAAAAGCTATAGGCTGCAAGGTTCTGTAGTCCACTGCATCTTTTATTACCCCTTAGTAATTTAATCCTCGATAGGTCCTTATTGATGAATCTAGAAAATCCCTCATGTTTTTTGGCACACAGCCCTAAAAGCTCTGATTCTCACTCCCTCCCCACCTGCAAAGCCCTTCCACACTGCAGTTACAGGATAAATTGAGGCAGGACTATCTGCACAGTATGACTGTGGTATATATAATTAAACACAAATGGCACATCTCTGAAACTAGGCCAAATTCCTAGGAAGAGTGGAACAGCAGCAAACAAACTTTCATTTCCATCAAGTGCTGAACATCTGCAACTGATTTTCCTGATAGATCTGCTTAACATTTCTGCGGAAGCAAATTATGGCTAAAAGCTGGGCTGCCATCCATTATCCTTCCCAAAGCTCCAGGCAAGGCTGAGCTCTTACACATATCATTCCTCCTCATCAGAGGTTCTAACTGCAAGTGATTTCCAGGCTGCACAGTGACAGGGAAGCAAGAGCTATAGCAGAGAATTCAATGGTTGGCCCGCTTTCTCAATAAAGGCAACAGATTCTCTGAAGGCAGGAGAAAGAAGTAGGAGTCAACGCTCATCTTTTCTTGTTTTCTTTCCCTCTGCAAGATGCTGAAAAGGTAGAAAATAAATAGAACGGCCACTTGGATGATATACTCCTGCTTCATCAGACCACCGTCATTTACTTGGGGCTACCAAGAAAGAGCCCCCGTATTTGGAGATCTTCAGGGAATGGATAAACTATTACACTGAAAAAGAATCCTGGCCCCAAGCAGAGAAATGTAATCAATAGCCTCTATATAGAAATTTCCAGTCCTATTCCTCCATAAAACTAGAAAGTAACAATCAGCTTCTGCTCAGACCCTTACTAATCTCCAAATTAAAAGCACAAGGCTTTCACTGGGCTGATTCCAACACCATCATGTGATTCCAAAAAAAAATCACCCATAATCCAGATACATAAAAACATCAGGAAGAATAAAAGTCCACTTGTGTGTATTTTGTCTAAAACAATACACTCATACATTCAAGCTTAATTAATGCAACCAATAGCTCATTTCATGCTACAAGGGCAGCGTAGCAAGGAAATCCTACTACCCAGGGTAGGAGAACAGAGCCCTAACCTTAGCTCTTAGTCCCTCTATATCCCTGGGCAAGCCACCTAAACTTTCTTTAGAGAATTTTCCTAAAAAAAAAAAAAAAAAAGGAAATACCACCACTTACCCTATCTATCTCAGGGGGATACAGTAAGTCTCAGATGAAACAGTGTACACAAAAATGCTTTTTGGTATTATAGCTTTTAGGTTCCAATATCTAGGAATATGTCCAACATATGTCCCCAAAATATGTATAACAATATCCATAGCATTTTTATTCATAACTGTCAAAGTCTGGAAACAATCAAATGGCCATCATGAGGAAAACGGGTGAATAAATTGTGTTATAACCACAAAAGGGAATACTACACTGCTATAATAAAGAATGAACAACTCTTAGCAACATGGATGAATCCTTACAGGCATGATTCCAGTTACAAGAAGGTGAAGGACAGGCAAAACTAGTCTCAAGTGACAGATGTCAGAATAGTGGTTACCTCAGGAGACAGGGGAGTTATGACTGAGAAGGAACCAGGGAGCCTCCTGCGGTGACGGAAATGTTATGTTTTGCTCTGGGTGGCAGGCACCCAGATACGTGAATGTGTGAGAATTCATCAGGTTGCACATTGGAGATTTGTGTATTTACTGTATGTATGTTCCACCTCAATAAAAATTTAAAAATTATATCCTACAAGTATCAGGCTCAAAATAAATGTAAGGTGAGACTGTGACATTTTCATTATTGCTTCTCTTGAACTAGCATATGGAGCAACTACACAAGAGATTTAAGGCAGACAAGGAAAGTGGAAAAGAGCAAAGGAGAATATTGTGAGGTTCAACAGGGACCAGCCGCTAAGAGACAATAGCTCTCAAGAAATGATTCTTAAATTCTGATCTTATAATTCCTCACAAGGCTTTGGTGACCTTTCTCACACTCTCACACACAAAACTGGTGCACTCTTGAAAGAGGGAGTGCGAGCGTCCTTTCTGTCTGTAGGGGTGGCGGGTGGCACCCTAAGGCATGGGGAGTTGGCGCCATGGTGTCGCAGAAAGAGGACTGTGGTCCAGGGGCTCGATTCTGGTCAGCTCTGCTAGCCATGAATCTGTTGTGCGACTCTGGGCAGGTCAATTTCGCCTTTCCAGATGGCATCTGAAAAATGACCAGATTGCTAAGCTCTGAGCATCTACAGGGTAGGGCAAAGGTAGGTTTACAGTTGTGAGTATGCAAAATATAGTTTATCCTTGTGTGATTATTTATTAATTATTGTATTATTTTTCATATGAAGAACTTACTTTTCAAGTAGGTAAAACCTACTTTTACCCCACTCTGTATAATGCTAAGGTGGAAAAATTAATCAATGTCAACAACAATAAAGCTAGCTAAATTAGGTAGCTAAAGGAAAACAAGTGCTAAAAGAATGATCCCCCACCCCCACAGAGCTTTATCAAATGATTATTTAGGCTAGCTCAGCCTCTTTGAATCCATAGAGAAACAATACTCCAAAAGCCATGGGGACTAGTCTTTCCCCTCTCTGTTTTTTAAAAATATATTTTATTGATTATGCTATTACAGTTGTCCCAATATTTCCCCCTTTGCCCCCTATGCTGGGTCCTCCCATTCCTTCCAGCAATCCCCTACACCTTAGTTTATGTCCGTAGGTCGTGCATTGAAGTTTTTTTGCTCCTCCATTTCCTATACTATTTTTAATGTCCCCCTGTCTACTTTGTACCTACCTGATATGCTTCTTAATCCCTGCACCTTTACCCCTGTTCTCCCCCTTCCTCCTTCCAGCTGAGAACCCTCCAAATGATCTCCATATCTATAACTCTGTTCCTGTTCTGGTCGTTTGCTTAGTTTGTCTTTTATATTCAGTTGTTGATAGTTGTAAATTTTCTTCCATTTTAATGTTCATAGTTTTGATCTCCTTTTTCTTAAATAAGTCCCTTTAACATCTCATGTAGTAATGGCTTGGTGATGAACTC